CTGGGAGCCAGGCCTGTGTGAGTCCACTCGGCAGCGGGGGGCAGGGGTGCCCGCTCGTGGCCAGGCCTGGGCGGGGTTGGAAGCACTGCGGGGCGGCTCCCGGCGACAAGGCCTCAGGGCGAGTGTTTGGAGGCTGCTTGGACGCTGTGCGGGTCCCAGCCCGAGCCACCTGGTGTGGGGGCCAGAGACGCAGGGAGGGGCCTAAACGGGCGTCCGCGAGGAGGCGTTGGTGGTGCCGGGGTCTCCCCCTGGAGGGGCCTCGCCAGCCGAGGGAGCTGCCGTTTCCCCACAGCTCACGCCGTCCCTTTCTTCAAGAGAGCAAACGCTTTTCAAAGACTTCCTGCTCTTCCTTCTCTTGGCCCGTGTCATTGTGTCTCAGGGAACATAGCTGTCGTTTTTCACCTTTTGCTAAAAGCTGGGCTGCTTGGGAATCCCCGAAGACGTGACCAGATGAAAAAGACTTGTTTCCAAGAGTTCCTTCTTCTGGCGGGCTCGCGCCGTCCAGCCTCCCACAGACACTTCTCGGGCAGCAGCCGTGGCCGCGCGGCCCACGGCCTCCTCCGTGGAGGGGGCCTCTGGGGCTCCCAGGTCTTAGAAACCCGAAGGCAGGGCGTGGGCTGCTCCCACTTCCTCACACTGCCCTTTGCATTCAAGATCCGATTTCCTTAAGAGACGCGCAGCCCGCGCTCTGCCCGGCCAGGAAGGGAGCTCCCCAATCCCGCCCCGCGGTGACGCGCAAGTCGGGTTCAGGCTTTCATTTTGGACTGAGGTGTCTTTGGCTTACAACATTGTGTGGGGTTCTGAGGCGCCGGTTTTGGCAAGCCGAGCCCCGCGGGTGCCGCCCCCCGCGCCAGCCGCCATCCTGCCTCCGCGCGGAGAGGCCGCGGGCCGTGTGGGGAGCGCGTCGGCCATTTCCCTCGCCTCTAGCCGCTGCCCCCTCCGGGGGTGGGGAGAGGAGGCTGCTTCGTGGGGACAGCTGGGGGGCGCGGGGGGCAGCCGTCGTGGGGGACCACCGGTCCCTGGAGTGGATGCAGGGTCTCGCCCCCACCAGGGACGGGGCAAGGTGCTTCTCCCGACGCCCACCTCCCCGTGGCAAGGGCGCCCCGATCTGTGGCCTCGAGTCCCCCGCGGCCCCCAGGCTGCGTTCCTCAGCTTAACGGCCCGAGGGCCGAGCCCGCCTGTCCTCTGGCTCCGCGGCTGTCGGGGGTGACCGCCGACGTGTTCCGCCGGCGCTGAGCGTGTGTGTTCGTCCATACCTGTTTTTCTGCTATTTTACAAATAGGTTCCTGGCAAACGCATTTAAAGGAAGAACATTCTTTTCTGTTTGGAACAATTGACTGTACCTGTTTTTCTTTTCTTTGAAAATGCTTTTTAAATCACTTGCAGCAAACAAAACGACAGTGAGGAGTAGCACAAAGCTTCGACTCCAGTCGTTTGTAAATTGAGGATGATTGCTCGGTGCCGATGGCTCTTGCCGGCTTGATTTCCTCGACTGGGGGCGCTCGGCCTGCTGTCACTCCCGTGAAGCCCCGGGAACGGCTCGGCATTTGTCCCTGAAAAGTTTGACAATATCAAGAAGATACTTGCTTTTAATTTAGGTTGTTTCATGTAACGTTTCCAAGAGCAGAGACGGCGCACTCTTGGCAGGGGCTTAATTCTTAGGATGAGTTATTGGGTCTAACGGGCTCCCCATAATCCTGAAGGTAGAGCCGGGTGCGTTCCAGCGTCGGGGTTGCAGGCGGCTCCTTGCCCGGGTGGGTTTGGTTGGCTCTGTTGGTCCGTTGGCCGTGGCTGTCCTGCTGAGCGTGTTCCCCGGCACAGGAGTGACTCGCAGTGTTTGGGACGCAGCCTGGCACGGGGGTGCTGGCGTTCTCTGACTGCAGGCGCCTTGAGGCCCCGAATCTGGGGACACCCCGGAGTCTGGGAGGCCAAGCAGCCTCATGGGCCCTGTGGACACACACACGCCCGTGTGGGGAGGCAGCAGTTTCTCCGTGGCCGGTCACCTTCCTTCAGGCCCTCAGCTGCCCCGGTTCGTAAGGCCCCTGGTGGGGCTGGAGCCGCCCCTCCGCTCTGGAGGGCGCCGGTACCCTCTTGCCATCAGCCTGCCCACACGTCTGGGGTAGGGTAGAGCGTTTTTCGAAGCCCCAATATTTAGCAAAAGCCTGGGTGGGGGTGGGGGTGCTCATGTGCCCGAAACGGCTGATTTTCTTGTGCGTCCAGCCTATCTGCTCTCACCTATAAGTGCTTCAGCACCCAGTTCTGGCTGGGGGGACCCCCCGAACCTGCTGGAAACCGTGCACTGGCCATGTCTGCACCCCAGAGCCACCGCAGGCATGTGACGGGATCAGCCCGGCGGCTCCAGGCTGCTTGGGTTGGGTCGGGTTGGGCTCGGCAGGGAGGGAAATGCGGTGCTGTGTGGCAGCTGGAGGCTCTTTGAGAGTCCCTGAGGGGTACGAGAAAGCACCCTTGGACAGGAGTGATTGGAAACCCCGAAAGCTTAATCAAGGGAGTGCAGACTGGGGTGCGTTCAGCTCAAGGGGGACAGGAAAGCCTTAGAGCCAACCTGTCCTCCCCACGCTCCCAGCCTCCCTGGGGGTCCCTCTGTCCCTGGCACTGACTGTGACCCTGTGTGATGCCCCGGAGCGGTCAGCTGCTGGGCCTGCACCCCAGGGGCCACCCGCAGGGGCCCCAGGACACACAGCCTCCGCCCGGGACAGAGCTGTCACTCTGAGGACACAACCTTTCCTAGAGAACTGGGTCCTTATTTGCCATCGCGATACTCATCACAGGCGGGGCTCACCACCTCTTAAAATCGGGGGGCCCACCCCCGGGAATGGGGCCACAAACACAGGGCTCCTGGTGGGCAGCTGAGTCTGTTTATGTGACGTCCCTTTTCTCTCTAGAAGAAATAGCAGAGCATAAAATCTAAGCGTTGGCTTCAAATATCCTTTTCAAAGAAGAGGAAGCCATTAAAATGTATGGCTCTGCCTGATACAACATAGCGCCAGAGCCCACCGGTTTATACCAAAGTCTTTCAGGCTTTTGCTTTTTTCGGAATATTCACTGATTTTCCTGAGCGGCATTAGCACCGCAGGGTTGGATCATAAATGCCTTTCACTGTTGAGGCGACGGAGCTGGCCTGACTGTCCAAAATGTATTTCTGTGTTCTGCTAAATTCGCGAACGTACGTGAGGCGTGTGGGCCTCACGCATGATGCCGTGTGACCTGCGTCTGCGGCGCCGTCGCTGGCAGCAGGCAGGGAGGGGAGCCACCCTGCGCCCAGGATAGCCACCCCCTGCACCCCCGGACCTGACCCCTTTCCTGCTAGGGCACTGCTCCGAGGACCCGTTGCTGCCAGTGGCCACAGCAAGTCCGTTTGGCGTTTCTTGGCTGTGACCTTTGCCACGCCCTGTCCTCATGAGGCCTGGGTGGACCTCGAAATGTAGGCGCGGGCAGGACACCTGTGACCTGCCAGCCGACCTCCCTGGGCCCCTGTGTCGCTGGCACCAGGACCCAGGGCACCAGGTGGGTCTGGCGCTGTGTGGGCCCTGGATGAACGGGGGTGAGCGCCCTCGGTGCCTGCCCTGGGGCTGGTGCAGGCGCCTCCCGGCACTGAGGTCTCCCGTGCAAATGGCTGGGGAGGCCACCCTGCCGCGCCCCCACACCCCCCACTCCCTGCCCACCAGCCCTGCACCCCCACACTCCCCGCACCTCCCATGCCCCGCCCTGCCCCCCACCCCATCCCCCCCCCTCCAGCCCCAAGAGCTGCTTCACCATCTTCAAAATGCGGCCCTTTCTAAGAAAATCAGGTCCATTTTCCATGTAGCCATCACCGGCCAAAGTGTGGCTTTCGTTCCCAGACTGTTGAATATTAGAAGCTGGAATTTACCAAGATGGATTTAGGACTATCTCAGAGGCCGTATTTTTAAGGAAAAATCATACAACATAAATGCTGGCGTGGCCGTCCAGTAAGAGAACCCACACAGCCGCGCTCAGCGGGGCTCCCTGGGGGTGCGGGGCGCCGGGGCTGGGGCCTCCTGGGCGGGGTCTGGCCCGGAGGGGGTCACCTTCCTTCCTTCTGTTGGACTGTGAAGCCATGAGCCGGTGCCCACGGGCGCTTCCCTGCCGAGGGAATCCGCGAGTGGGAAGGAAGCGTCTCACGGGGCGCAGACCGCGCGGGCAGGGCCGTGTGGATTTTAGAAGCCGTCGCGATGGACACGACTCGCTGGCGGGAGCTCTCGCCGCAGCGGGGGGCTCAGCGCCCGGTGTCTGCGTTAGTCCTGGGGCGTGTGGCCAGTGCAGAGTGGGCCCGGGGGCCGGGGCGGGGTCAGCGCGGGGGTGGGCGCCAGCGGCTCGCGGATGTCAGGGGCGGCGCTGACCGGACTGGGTGCTAAGGAGGCGGCACTATGGCGCACACGCACGTCCTGCCGCCTGGGACACGGGAAATGCCACGCAAACCTCGGGGCTCGAACCAACCGGCGACGTGGACGGCTGGTGTGGGGGACCGGGAGGGGAGAGGGCAGGGTGGGACGGGGCGAGGCGCTGCTGAGCAGGTGCCGGGAGGGCGGGGCAGAGACTCACCCTGGGAGGCGCCAGGCCCACAGGGGCGGGGCTGGGGGGGGGTCCGGGGGCACCTCAGGAGCCCGCAGGCAGTGAAGGGGCGGACGCTGAGCTGGGCCGGCCCGGGACCCCAGGCAGCAGCATCCTGTCTGTCCTCCTCAAGGAGATGTGGGGAGTCGGCCAGCAAAGGGACGGGGTGTGCCTGGCACCCGGGGACTCAGGACCCGCTCAGCGCCTGAGGGTGGAGCCCAGAGAAGGTGCAGCTCGTGCCCGGGGCCCCAAAGGGCAGAGGAGCCGGGGGCAGGCAGGACCCCGTGTGGCCATCACACCGTCTGCCGCGGGGCCAGCAGGGCCGGCGTCCACAGCGAGCTCTCCAGGCCGCGGTCACCCCGTCCCGCCGGCCCCCTCGGGGATGGACGCTCACGCCCCGCCTCCCCCAGGTCTCTGACCGCTGCGACTACGTGTTTGTCAACGGGAAGGAGATGAAGGGCAAGGTGGGCGTGGTGGTGGACTTCACCTACCAGCACCTGCGCAGCCCGCTGGAGCTGACCGTGTGGGCGCCGCGCCTGCCGCTGCAGATCGACGTCTCGGACACGGAGCTGAGCCAGGTCAAGGGCTGGCGCGTGCCGGTCGTCTCCAGCAAGAGGTGGGTGCGGCGGTCGGGGGCCCCATCGCCTCAGCCTGTCCCCCGGGTCCCACTCTCCTTCCCTCCTGCACCTCCACGCAGAGTGCGTCCTCTCCCGGGAGGCCGCCAAAGCCCCGGTCTGGCTCCTGGGTCCTCGCGGGCCGCGGGGGACACGCCATGGGGTGGGAGGAGCAGGCCGGCCGGCACCAGGGGGTCAGAGCCAGGGACAGGAGACCTGATCCCTGTAACCTCCGCCAGCGGGCCTGACCCGGGAGGCCCCTCTGCGGCCCCACCCACGTCCAGGCATTGCCGGGGAGCCCGAGGGGCTCCGTGGCTGTGCCCCAGCACCGTGCCTGCAGAGCCAAGGCCCCTGTGTGGACGCGCCGGGGTCAGGCAGCACCTCAGGGACAGCTGTGCTCCAGGACGCCTCGGGGGCGAGTGGACGGGTCTCTCAGCTGAGCAGGGGGGCCTGTGTCCCCGCCGGGGCCGGCTTCATGGTCCTGCCTCTGGTGGCCAGGAGGCAAGGCCGAGGGCCCACGAGGCCCTTCTTACAGGCCAAGCTTTCTGGGGTGAGTGGGCGGTGGTGCCCGGCATGGCCGGCGCTGTGAGGGCAGCACACTCCAGATGCTGTCACAGCTGCGAGGCCCGACGCCCCGTGCCCTGTCAGGACCACACCCAGGCAGTGGCGGGCGTGGTGCAGGGAGCATGGCCTGGCCCTCCCGGAGCACCAGCTCCCCTGTGGGCACAGGCTTGTGGGGCTGTCCAGCCTCCAGCGCCCTGTGACTAGCACCTGCTGGGAGACCTGGTCCATCTGGCGTCTGTGGCTACATGATGCAAAGGCTTCTGCCCCAACCTGCTGGGGTGAAAGCGAGCCGGTCTGTTTGCATGGCTCAGCCGTCCAGCGTGACTTAGCAGGTCTGGGCCACAGGGCCCGTGGCTAGTGGGGCTGCCACGTGCACTGGGGACTCATGGGGAGGCATCCCCTGAGCTTGTACAGAGGCCACAGGGTCCTCCTTGCACCTGTTGCCGTTGTCAGGCCCACGTGCGAGTGTGTGGTGTCCTGGGACGGCCTCCCAGACACGGCGTCTGGCTCCACCCGGCAGGCCAGGAGGGCAGGACAGAGGTCCCGGCAGAGGCGGTCACACCAACACCTGGTCTTGGGAATGGCGTCCCCTCACTTGGCTGGCCTCCGTGGGGAGCATGCGCTTGGTACAACCGGCCGGGCAGCGGGTGCCCCTGCAGTCTGGGCCATGCTCCCGGCCCCGGCCCGTCTCAGCACCTGTTAAACCAAAGTGTCCCTTGGACAGGCCCGCCGGGGACAGCGAGGACGAGGAGGACGGGGAGCCGCGCGGCCGGGGCTGCACCCTGCAGTACCAGCACGCCCTCGTGCGCGTGCTCGCCCAGTTCGTGGCCGAGGCGGCCGAGCCTGGGGGGCACCTGGCCTACCTGCTGGGCTCGGACTGGCAGGTGGACATCACGGACCTGGTGAGCGACTTCATGCAGGTGGAGGAGCCGCGGATCGCCAAGCTGCGAGGGGGCCAGGTCCTGATTGGCCAGGAGCTGGGGATGACCACCCTCCAGGTAGGCCAGCCCCCCCGTAGAGCAGCCTCTCGCCGGGAGCGGGGCGACTGATGGGCATCGGCCAGTCACGGGCAGCGAGAGCCTGGGGCCCGTCCCCTCTAGCTGCCTCGCCCCGAGGCTGGCCCTTGCGGGGGGTGGGGGTCGAAGCTCGGGTACAGCGTAGCCGAGAGCCGTGGTGGTGCTGCCGGGAGGGGAGCTCCCCGGAGCCTGCCCATCAGATCGTGGGCATGGCTGGTGGCTCCTGACTGGCGTCCACCTCACTGACCGCTTGGCCACCGGGACGTTGCACCCTCCCCACCTCAGACACGCAGGCGAGGGGAGCATCCCGGATGTGCTGCGGGGAGACCCAGGCCGGGGGCTGGCTGCGAGGACCGGGGGGAAGCGGCCGTTCCCCAGACGCTGTCGGGAGGCCACGGGGCTGGGTCACCCGCCTCCCGTCCAGGGACAAACCTGTTTCTCAGCTGCCCCCTCGGCGGGGGCGATACTCTAGATCGGGGCTAATCACCCCACGGGCCAGCGTGGGGTCTCTGCGTCGCCGCTGTGAGGAAGCCTGACGGGAACCGTGGTGTTGGGTTATGGAAGATTTCGATCCATTCGAGAACACGGCTGGGATTTCAGAGCGATCGTTCTATTCGCGGAGGCGCGTGCGCTGGCCGAGCTGTGGCCTGCAGCCGCGTGCTCTGCGGCTCCTGAAGGCGAGGGAGGCTCCAGCGTGAGGCGCGCACGGGTGGGAGCAGGACGGTGGCGGCTGACCTGGGAGCCAGTGGGGCGGGTGAGGCGTGTGGTGAGGCCGGACTGGGGCTCGGCGCCACGCTGCCAAACAGCAGTGGGAACCCGGGGTGCAGGAAAGCTGGAAACCTCCCTTTCAGAGCGCACTCTGCTTGCGAGGGCCGCCCATGAAGCCCCACACGCCCCCCGTCAGCGGCAGGACCGGGAGGGGGGCAGGTGCCCGCCGCGCCCCAGGGCCCCGCGGGCAGGGAGGAAAGGGCCGTGTCCAGGAAGGGCCGTGAGGGACTGGAGACGGCGGTCCCCGGCGGGCGAGAGGGAGAGCGAGAGACAGAGACACCCCCCCCCTCCCCCCGCCAGACGCGCTCGGCGGCGGGCGCTTTCCCTGCACCTGTTTCTGCTTTCAGATCCTGTCGCCGCTGTCCGACGCCATCCTGGCCGAGAAGACCATCACGGTGCTGGACGAGAAGGTGACCATCACGGACCTGGGGGTCCAGCTGGTGACGGGCCTGTCGCTCTCCCTGCAGCTCAGCCCCGGGAGCAACAGAGCCATCTTTGCCACCGCGGTGGCGCAGGAACTGCTGCAACGGCCCAAACAGGTGCGAGGCGGCGCAGCGTGGGGGCCACACGGCAGATTCTGGGTCATTCAGACGGGGGTCGGCCTTGGAATCGGGCTCCACGCCCTCGGAGAAGGGGCTGCTGTCCCTAAGCCTCCTTGCTCCAAGGGGGAGGGGGAGAGGAGGGTCCCAGCAGCAGGGGTGAGCCGGTGGGGCCCCCCAGCCAGGACCAGACCTCCGGGGTGTGCGCACACGTAGCTTGCCGCAGCGGGGCCTGTTAATGGGGTGATCAAATGCTGTGTGTCCTGCCCCGCGATAGGGGTGGGGGCACACTGTCTGGAGTGCCCCGATTCTGGTGCCCCCCATCACCCTGCTCTCCACACCCCGAGACAGAGGTTGGCTGTGGGCTGCTGGGGGCTGAAAGAGTTCCTGTGGCTTCCCCAACTGGCGAGGACCCCGCCCTGAAGCGTCCCCCACTGGAGGTGACCCCCAGGCAGTGCCCCCAGGCCGTGCTGAGCAGCAGGGAGCCAAGGCAGGCTCATGGGGTCCCCCAGACTCCATGCCCCCCACTTCCAGCCCCACAAGGCCGGGTGCAGGGTCAGAACACCTTGATAGGGGATGACCCAGTAACAAGTGTAGCCAAGGGCAAACCTCCCTTTTCAGGGACGGAAGCCAGACGGGGTGCAGACCACACGTGGGGAGGAACGGCCGCTCGCCCTCGGGCCAGGCTGCAGCCAGCGGGGGCTGAGGAGGGGCAGGCACCATGGGAAGGGCATGGGTAGAACCCCCACCCCTACCGTGGTGCCCCCACCCGTCTGGCTGGCCCTCATCCCTGCCAGCAATTGGCCTGATGCTTATTTCGAGGCGCCAGCTGGCACCAGATGCCTGTTAGGATCCTGGCAGACCCGGGCTCCCCGGGTGACTGGAGAGGAGGTCGCGGGGGCCGCCACCTCGCTCCCAAGGCCTCCCCACCAGCGCCGACACGCTGGCCTGGCCCTGTGTGGGCCCACACTGTGGGGCGGGAGAGAGGACCCCCCCTCAAGCAGATGCAGCACCAGGCCTGGCCCAGGCTGCAGGAACTCGGGGGCTCGCAGCCCCCCGCTTGTGGTGCCCCTTCTTTCCCTCCCCCACACTGAACCCAAACACGCACTCACGCCAGACCTGCCCCGGGTGCCCGAGTGGAGCTTCACCCCGGCTTTATCAGGGCGCCCAGCACCCCCTCAGCTCTGGCTCCCAGCCTGTGTCTCCTCTTTGACTCAGAGCAAGAGGAGGCGCAGGGCTGCGGGGTGCCCATGCTGGCAACTATCTCCCGGGTCCAGGCAGGTGGGGGTGGGGCCCACGGACCCCGAGTTCGTCCCCTCTCGTCACTGTGGCAGTGGAGAAGGCCGCGGAGGGTGGAGGGCGGCAGCCAGCATCACTGTCCGCCAGGAGACAGGCCCGCTGGGGGGGGGTGGGGCCACTCCCCTCTGACCGGCTCCCCGCCCAGACCGGCCCCAGAGCGACAAAGGTGCAGGCGGGGGGCCTTGTGCACGGCCTCCGAGCCCCTCTGTCCTCCCCTGAAGGTGGGGACGGGCTGTGGGGGCTCTCGCCCCTCAGCTGGCAGGCCCAGGGTGACCCCACGAGTTGGTGCAATGTGTCCCGCGGACCCCAGCAGGCGGGACCAGCCACGCAGGCTGCGGCCCGGGGCTCCCGGTCAGGCCCGGGTCTCACATGCACCGGGAGCCACGGCGGGGACTCGGCATCAGCCACTTGAAGAGGACGCCTGGGTGTTTCTCCTCTAAGCCCTAGGGAGTGACCCTGTCACCGGCCACGCCCCTTGCCGAGCGGCCATCGCTGGGCAGAGCAGGCCCCGCCGGGCGGCCGTCTTGGCAGCGCAGGAGCCCACGTCAGGAGGCCGGTCGCCGGCCAGGGCTCCGCCGGCTGCGTCTGTCTCTATAGCGTCATCGGCGTCCTGCCCTCCATGGTGCGCACGGCCTCCTCCCGTGTCCACACAGCGCGGGGGCTCCTCGCCATTCTCGCTGGAACCGGGTGCCCGGCAGGCTCGGGGCGACCGCTCTGACCCAGCTGCCTGTTTCGTTCCGCAGGAGGCGGCCACCAGCTGCTGGGTCCAGTTCAGCGACGGCTCCGTCACCCCCCTGGACATCTACGATGGGAAGGACTTCTCCCTGCTGGCCACGTCCCTGGATGAGAAGGTGGTCTCCACCCACCAGGACCCCACGTTCAAGTGGCCGGTGGTCGCGGCCGAGGCCGAGGGCCAGGGCGCCCTGGTGCGGGTGGAGCTGGCCATCAGCGAGTCGTGCCAGAAGTCCAAGCGCAAGAGCGTGCTGGCCGTCGGCACGGCCAACGTCAGGGTGAGGTTCAGCCAGGGCGACGCCCACCCCAACGCCAGTGACAGCCGCCCCCCGGGGGCGGGGGCCCCCCTGGAGCACCACGGCGGCGACCGGCGGCCCCGGAAGCCCTGGCAGGAGTGGGGCGGCCAGGAAGGCCCCCTCTCCAGCAGCTCCCCCGGCGGCCTCATGGAGGGCAGGGGCACCACCACCGAGAGGGCCACCTTCCAGGGGGGCGGCCGGGGGCGGCTCTTCGATGACAGCCGCCTGCAGACCGTCCCCGTCGACCTGACCAGCCTGCCCGCCCCGGGGGACCTGCCCGGCGGCACCGGGGACGCAGAGGACCCCACGCAGGCCGCCAAGGGGCTGAGCGACCTGGAGATCGGCATGTACGCGCTGCTGGGCGTCTTCTGCCTGGCCATCCTGGTCTTCCTGGCCAACTGCGCCACCTTCGCGCTCAGGTACCGGCACAAGCAGGTGCCCCTGGAGGAGCAGGAGGGCGTGAGCCACGCGCACGACTGGGTGGGGCTGAGCCGCCGGACGGCGCTGCTGGAGAGCCCCGCGGCCTTCGCGTCCCCCCAGGGCGAGCAGGTGACCGCCATCGACCGCAGCCTGGACTTCGAGGAGAGCAAGTTCCTCCTCGGCACGGACACCCTCAGGGGGCTCAACGGGCAGCTCTTCGGGGCCCCCATGCCACCGGGCTCTGGCGGGAAGGACCAGAAGGGCGAGCCCCCGGCCTCCCCCACTTCCAAGAGGAAAAGGGTCAAGTTCAGCACCTTCACCGCTGGCTCCCCGGGGGGCGGCCGCCCAACCGTGCTGGCCCACACCGAGGAGGCTGAGGGCTGGGTCTGCCGGGACCTGTACCCCGGGGACGCCCACCCGGACCGGCCGCGGGAGGGGGTGTGAGCTGCACCCCACAGCCTGTTCTCACCTCTTGGCCTTTAGTGCGGGGCTGTGGCCACGAGCCCTGGGGGGCAACGCAGGACAGGGGGCTGCAGAGCCCCTGAGGTGCCCTGGCTCAGCACCAGGGAGGGACGCGCCTTCCCCCCAGGGGCCCCCAGGGCTGCCGAGCTTGAGATTTCCCACCCGTGGAAGGTTCCTGAGACTTGTGAGTGGCTGAGCCTCTGGGAAGTCCCGGGAGGGGACAGTCTCCCGCAGCATCAGCGCGCCCTGGGTGTGGTGACGCCACCGCGCCCGGCCGCAGGGACACACGGGGACGCCAGGCCAGGCTGAGGCAGGCGGGCTGCGGGTGAGCAGGGACGGGGCCGCCGGGCTCCCGGGAGGCCTGCCCGTGCCACCTCCCAGCTGCTGGTGCCCACCGCCAGCCAGCCCAGGCCCCATGGGCACCACGGCTGCAGACATCGCTGCGGCCAGGCATCAAGAACAAGCTAGCAGGCCTCAGCCTGTGGCTTGGGCACCCCTGTATTTGCAAAGGGGGGGTCTTCGGTCCCGGGGACAGTGGGGCAGTTTCCTGCAGTCATGAGGAAGGGGGGGGTCTCCATGCCCCTGGCCTGCCCAGAGAAACCCGGGTCTGCGGACACTCGTAACGGTCCCGGGCTGGTTGAGGACTCAGGTGTGGGTGCAGGGTGTGGGTGAGTGGGGGCCAGACCCTACCCCAACCGGTGGGCAGCACGCCGGGCATCGTGCCCTGGGGAGGCCTGAGCCGGGACGCCCTCAAGTGCCTCGGACGGAAGCCAGCGCAGAGGGGGCGTCGGAGGGCTGTGCCCGGGGGAGGTGGGGCGGGTCCACTGCGCGGCCCTGGCAGGTCGGGGACAGGAGGCACCATGAAGCCAGCGCGCGTCTCCTGCATCTGGTCCCTGGCTCCTCAGCGCTGCTCCCGATGCCTCCTCCTCTGTGTCTTTCTGTCTCTTCCTCCCTCTGCCTCCCCCGGTCTGTCTCTCGCTCTCCTCTCGCCCCCCCACCCCGTGCGTAGCAGCGAATCCTTAGACAGTGGATGAGACAGACACCCCCCGCCCCCAGCCGCCTCCCCTCTGGAGGGGGGCACTGCCCGCCTGCTGCCCTCCTGACCCGGGGCCGGCGCCCTGAGCCGCTGCCCCTGCCCGAGCCGACCTCCGTCTGGCCGTGATTAAACTGCGCCTTGAGCGAGGCCCCGGTGCGCCCGGCAGCCCTGTCCCCCGCCAGCCATGTTGCCAGGAGGCCCCTCTCGGCGGGGCAGAGTGGACTGTAGGTTGTAAGAATGTGACATATTTATAAACCCACCGACTGTAAATATAAAGTTTGCACTGAGGCGGCGGCTGTCCTTGTCTTCCTACCGGCCTCCCGCGGGCCGGCGTCCGGCTTTGGTGAGTGAGGACGCAGCTGGGGCCCCCTCCTGCCCACTCCGAGGGCAGCGATTTCCGCCCTAAGACGGACGCAGTCCTGCCGAGCAGGTGCCCCCACCTGCCCCAGGGCCCCCCGCCATGCACTGTGTCCTCCTGACACCCAGGAAGGCGCTGGAACCAGGCACACGGGGCGCGAGAGCCCTTCCCAACCCCGTGGCCGCACGTGGCACGCCTCGCCCTCTGGCCGCGGGGCCCAAAGTGCTCCAGGTTGCCCCGAGTCCCGCCCAGCCAGCCCGGTCTCGCAGCGTGTCCCTGGCATCCCGTCACCCCACGACACTGGCCGGTGTCTGCCGGGGCCTCCTCACGCCCCTGCACTCCCTGCGTCGGGGGCTTCGTCTGCTAAGCAGATTGTCAGCGCTGGTGACATGAAAACTGACCGAGGACCTTTTAAAAACATAACTCAGATCCCGTCACTCCCCAGCTCAGAGCCCGTCGGTCCAGAGGGGGTCTGAACCGTGCTCCCCGGGGGCTGTCCATGGCAGCGCTGCCCCCGCCTGCCCCTCCTGCCGGCTGACCCCACACCCCGCCTTCCGCCCGCCCCTCTGGCAAAGCCGCCCCCCCACCTTGGAGCTGGCCCCGCCAGGCCTCCTCCGGGGCTGTTCTCCCCGACCTGTCCTGCTTCGGGCCCTGGGCACCCCTGGGGCGGCTCAGACGTCGCCTTGTTGGTGCAGGGTGCAGCTTTCCCCCACCTGCCAGAGGCTGCACCCCCCCACCGCCTGCCCCAACCCTCGGGGCTCTCCACGCTCTGGACGTGCACCCCCAGGTGTCTGCTCGTGCTTGGTGTGTCCCCCCATAGGACACAAGTCCCGGAGAAGAGAAAGGCCCAGCCCTGCTCTCCGCCCCGCGTCTGTGACCAGAGCCGCCCCTCGAGAGCCAGCAGACACCGGAGGACCTTCGGGGGGCGGGGGGATGCGCGGGCTGACACGGAACGGCTTCCAGACCACAGTAAGGGAGACACCTCTGGCCTAACAGATCCAGCAGTCGCTGGGGAAGCAGGATTCAGTCACGTGACCTCGTTGCCCAGCCGCGTGGGGGTGCTGCGCGGCCCCCGCCCCGGGCCAAGAAATACGTCCTCAGATTCGGCGCCCTTGGCGGGAGCCAGGATTGAGCCAGAGTCTCCGCGAGCAGCACGTGGAGGACGAAGCTCCCCCACTCCTTCCCGGGGGCCTGGCGGCCGGCTGCAGGGTCCCCCCTTGGTGGGGACAGCAGGAAGTAACAGCCCGTCCCCCCAGGTGGCCCTCTGGGACCTCCCACCCCACCCTCGCCGTCTCTGCTCTGTGCGTGAAGCCTCGCCCCTGCATTTTCCAATCTCCAGGGAAAAGACGGGGCATCCCCTCGGGCCCCCATCCCCGCCCCAAATACTGGGACCTGCCTGTTGACGTGAAAACCAGTCAGGGGGGCCTGGGTTCCCGCGGGGGGGGCCCTGGAGGCCCCACAGACCCTGCTCAGCATGAAGCCCACCTTCGTCTGGGCACCACCGACGTCCTGGGGGATTTATCGCCCGGTACTGCCTGCCCAGCCCAGTTAATGTGGGGTCAGCGCCCAGGGCCGCCGGGCTGACAGCGTCTGGTCCTGAGAGGCCTCCAGGCTGGTGGGAACGGGGCTGGGTGGGGGCCGCATTCACCCCCAAGTTTTCCTCTCCCCTTTAATGATCTGCCAGCCTGGCTGCCCATGAGGCCTGGAGCAGAACAAACGCCGTCAGGGGTCTCCTGGGACCTCATTGTGGCTCTCATTACCAGCCCGAAGAGAGCCCCGGGGGCCCTGGCCGGTGATGCCAGCTAATTAGGTGGCCCAGACCTGCGTCTGCCAGCTGCTGGCAGCATCCCCAGAGCCCTGCTTCCCCACAGGCCCCCCCACCCTGGAGCTGCGGCGGGCCTGGGGGTCCCTCGGGGCCCCCCTTTCCTTGGCCTGCTGGCCGCTGAGGGCCAGGGAGCAGTGGACAGAGCTGTCAGGCCACGCTCCCAAGTGGCAGGGGCAGCATCCAGGCTGAGACCGCAGCGTGGCCTCTGCTGCCCGGAGCTAGGACCCGAGACTGACAGTGGGGGCCAGGTGCTTCACCCCGTCTGGATTTTAGCCCCGTGAGGTGGAAGGTCACTAAGCTGGACACCCCAGAGATGCTTTTTCCAGTGGTCAGGCTCTACAAGGCCCTCTGGGGTCCCCAACTCCTGCGGCGAGGCTGGTGGCCAGTGCTCACCCCCTCCCAGCTGCCCTGGGCCCCTCACCTGCTGCTGACACTTCTCTGCAGCCTCATGAGCCCCAAGCTGGGGCCTGCTTCCCGCTTCCCTGTTGGGGTGCCCAGAGTGTCACACCAGGTGCCCGGCTGCCTCCTGACAAGGTTGGGGTGACCTCAGGAGACCCAGGGGCCTCTGCCCAGCAGCCAGCTCTTTGGTGTGGAGAGACGGCGTTAAAGCGGGGACCCATAACCCTTGCGATGGCCGGAACTCGGTGGGAGGGCCCCTGGGTGCTCTGGGTGGGTGATGGAGGACACGAATAGAATAACTGGAAAGGAGGCACCACCAGACCAGGACCCTGGCTCCCCCGGTGCCAAGAGCCAGAGGCGGGGATAGAGGGATTAGCACAACCATTGACCAGCCCCAGGGACAGAGGTGCTCAGGCCCCAACGCTCTGATCACAAAGCATAAGACCCACGCAGGTGCCAGGAGCTGTGGGAGTGTCCGGAGCACAGGCCCAAGGGTAAAGACATGGAGATGGAGCCCACTGTGGGATCTCCAGTCCCTTTCAGAGTCTGCAGAGCTGTCCAGAATCAGCAACAGGCCGAAGGCTCAGGAGTGACACCCCCCCCAACAGAGAAAAAGACTGTATGGGTGCAGTCTCTGCCCGCCTGTGCCCTTGCAGGTGCTGCTTTTCCAGCTCTCTCCCTCCGCAGGGCAGCGGCCTCCGACCCGCCTGTGCCCTGCACCCTGCACCTGCCGGGGCTTCTCCTCACTGACCCTCAGCAGAGGCCGCTCCCCTCGAGGCCCCGCCTGCGGGCACACAGGCCCCTCAGCAGACCCGTCCCTCTCGGGCAGCTCGTCCTGCCCGCTGTGTCTGTGGTGTCCTTTACTCTCCCGTCCCTTCCCTAATAAACCTGCCCTTTAAATACAACCAACGTCTCTGCCTCAACCAAACTCACCTGGGAACGCGCAGGTGCCGCTGAAAAGGAGCTCTAGGGACACCTTTCCCAGAGGGAACCCGAGGACCCCGCACTCCAGACCCATTGGCCCCAAAAACGACATCCCTGACACCCCCTCAGCTGTGTGCTGCCTCTGCTCCACCCAGGCAGCCTCCTGGGAGCCAGAGCCACTGACACCCGTGGCCTCCACTCCGCGTGCCGCCGCCCGAGCCCACCACGGCCTCCCCGCCTGGAGCGGAGGGCAGGCTGCGCCGAGGGGAGAGGGAGGCAGGAACTGGACTCTCGCCCACAGGTGGACAGTCTGGAAATGAGGGCAGCGACTTCAGTCCCCACGTCGTAGGACAACGGCAGCCTGGGAAGGTCTGTCAAGGCACCAGAGTGCGCTAATGCCCAGAGTAACTCCCCTTTGCGCGCTTGATCACCGCTGGCAGAGCTGTCTGTGCCCACCACCCAGGACAGCGCCTCTGGTCCTCCAGGACACGTCCTGACCCCCCCCCCCCAGTCTGCAGGGACACAGCTTGCTGACACCTGCTCCCTCCACGTGGCCCTCTGCGTCCCCAGGCCACGTGCCAGCTGATGGTCTCCCAGCCTGGAGGGGCCGGGGCTGAGCCTGCACCTGGCAGACTTCCCAATTTGTATGTTCCTCCCTGGATACACAAACAAGATCTCCACCCTCCCGGTTCTAAATGGCCTCAAGGAATATGCAAAGCCCCAGGCTCCCCGAAGGGAATTGAAAATAACTGTGGTTAAAAAAAAATGTGCACTTGGGTGAAATAATGAGTC